TAGTCTGATTTAGTAATAACCGTACTTAGTGAACTCTTACATCCGATTACCCGATTGGTATATTATTTTAGGAGCGCGAACGTAGCATAATAGACCGGTCTACTATGCTTAGAGATCCCGAGTTCGACTCCCGGCAGAACCAGAAAATTTTTCATACGCTCGTAGCTTCTCTTTGGTAGGTTGGCAAACCACCAAGAGTATTCATGCCAAGAAAACTTCTTTTCAAAAATTTGTCGTTCGGAACCGTTGTGTTTAAACTATAGGTTCCGTATGCATGTGTATAATCTGCGTGCGCACCACATGCATACATGAGAGGTAGGCCCAGGCCCAACTTTGAGCTATAGCGCCATTGATGGATGGCTATTATTTTAGATGTAAAAATATATTTTAATTAAATATAAGAGATCACTATATTTGTTATTAAACCGGGTTGATGTTGCTGTATAAAGAAAATCATACACTCAGACAGAATAAATATCTATATCTTAGGGACATCTTGAGAATATTTAAAATAAGTAAGAAATCTTTTAGGCGTTTGCAGGATGTCTTTCCGACATTTATGCTGTATGTATATCTCGTATATCTTATAATTTTCAAAAGTGTTTTATCAATTCTACAATGTATATAAAAATTTTGATATACTGTAGAAATAATTGCAATTACATTGCAGTAATATTTGGCACATTAACAATGCAGTAATATTTGGCACATTAACAATGTAACATTACATTTGTTATACACATAATATACATACACATTATATATTATAGTTATATAACATATAAATAACTTATGCTATATTATTTGTTATTTTCATGTTATGTTGCTGCAGTAAACAGTGTTTACTGGGATTATATTAGGGTCTGAACACATCCAGCTTACTTCTGATTAGTCTAGTTTTTTACGTGATCAAAAATGGCGGAACTAAGGATTATTAATTAAGGGACACTATCTGAAACAAATCTTGTGGAGACTATCTGGAAATATTGAATAGGCATCATTCACATGTAAAATTAATAACAAAAGGACACGATTTACTCAAGACGATGTAACCGCGGTTGGCTATTCGGCCAAAAAACTTTGGGCGTCTAACCTAAATAGCTCTATCAAAAATCAGAACGGCCAACACAGAGCATCCCGTTGCGACCTCTACGTAGCCACAGTTTCTCCTATAGCCGGATATCTTATAGTCCCAGTCCTCGCGATCGTCGAGGACATCCGTTACAATGTATGTTATTTTTTTTGTTATGTCTTTTTGTAAAATATATATCATATTTACATTATGAATCTGATTTCATTTACGTCATAACATAGTAGTAGCAATAGCTTTATAATACCGATATTATGCCGATATTATATTAACCGTAACTGGTACAATACTGATATTATGCAAAATTTCGGTAAGATAACGGTATTAGATGTCGAATCTTACAAAAATGTATTACTGTTAACTTTATGATTAATTATTCATTTCAAATATTTAAAACATTGTTGATAGTAATTCGTAATGATTAAATTATAAATTTCACAGTGATCTCAAATATTTTCGATGCTTAGGATTGAAGTAATTAAATACTATTTTATCATTAATATGAATACTTAAATACTAATGTTTAATAGCACAACAGTGATGAAATCATTACAGAAAATTAATACTAAGAATTACTGAATTTTTAGTGATGAAATATTGAGAAAGCAGTGGAAATACAATAGATAGTAAACATATTTCAAATAAGTATTCCGGTAACAGAAGATCCAGGATGCCTGACTACTAACTAAATGATCCAAGTTCAATATTGTCCTGAATTTATATAGGAATCTATACGGGAGTCTATACTTTTTTTCATTTTTTTTCCTTTTATCTCTTTTTCTATAACGTTTATTTTATCATTAATGTCAATAAAAAACACATACAGTTTTTTAATGTATATCATTTGAAATATATTGTATCAATAATTAAGTATTGACCAAATAATTATTAAAATACTGCCAGTACTTATCCTTGTAAATTCTTTAGTAATTTTCAGTATTAAATTTCTGTAAGGGAAATGCTGGTATCATATTGAAATTTTTATAATATCGGTATTTCACATATAGTGTATATACAGGGTGTCCCATTTTAAAATTCTCAAAAGATTATCTTTTTAGAAAAGTATTTAAAAAAAAAGTCTTTTGAACAAAAGATATAGTTTCAAGGGGAACATAGGATGATGGGAACGATTTGGCCTCGGATTGTTGTTTGAAGATTATGGTCACCTTCAATTTTTTAAACAGAAACTCCTATTTTTTATTACATATTCTTGTAATTTATCTTGAGAGCTTTTAACACTATAATAAAATAATTTTGTATTAAATACTTTTCGAGTTATACGGCTTGAATGTTGCAATACCGCCGGCATTAATATTACCCAAGACACACAGCACAAAGGGTTTGGAGTCAGAAAATATTACGGACGTGACGAACCATGGGGTCCTTATCTCTGCTTATGCACGCACACACGCAAGCACGCACGCACACACACACACACACACACACACACACACACACACACACACACACACCAGACAGGGTTTCAGAAAATACTACAGGAGTGACGAATTGTGGAGCCCTTATATCTACCTTGGATAGTACTAATTCAGGCGGTACTGTTATTTAACTTTCAAGTTTCAAAACTCAAAAAATACTTAGCAAAAATATATTTAATCATAGTTTTTTGGAAAGCTCTCGAGATAAGATACAAAAATATGGAATAAAAAATAAAGAATTCTATTTAAGAAATTGAAAGTAACCTCCACGTGACCTACAAACAACAATCTAAAGTCAAATCGTTCTCACCATCTTATGTTCCCCTTGAAACCATACAACTTTTGTTCTAAACATTTTTTTCTTAAATGCTTTCCTAAAGAGATAATTTAGTGGAAACTTTAAAATGGGTCACCCTGTATAATACTAGTATAATACCTCTAGAGCGAAATAATTTCGGTATTCAGTTCCTAGCTTCGATTCCGATCGGCGACCGATCACTCATTCTAACCACGTTGTTGTTCGACTTCGATGATCGGATGGTTAGTACCGATTCCAATGGCTCTAACGATACTCTTGTGACTTACATTTATAAAATGTGTCCTTTAGTGCTCACAAAATATTGTAATGACATATTTACTGACAGATATTAAAAATATTCTTACAGAAAAATATTACAGTAATCACTGGGGAAAATATTAGTAATTAATTACTGGTTAATATTTCAGGAATTGTTTGACGAATTACTGTAGGAATTATTTACTACGATTATAAAATATTGTTTGCAAAAAAGTTATGTTGATGCAAACAACGAAACAAATTAATGTTAGATTATTTTAATAAAAAAATGTTGGTTTAATTTTTTCATATTTTTATCTTATTCCTCCGTAGTTTTGCTCCTGAAGCGTGGTCATCCATCCATGTAACTGTAAATAGCGTTGTTTTATCATAATGATCGAATAGGAACTTCTGATACCTAATACAATTGTCTTGACGATATCTTGAAGGGCTATGCTTATAATATTCTCTTATATTTAAAAAACATTGTAATGGCAAAATAAATATTAGAAACAATGCTAAAACAATTAACATGCCACGAAAATTAATATAATATATATTACTAAACCAATGACGTCATTATAATTTAGATTTTTAATTACAGATTATATTGAATTTTAAGGCAAACTAGAAATTACTTTGAAAAACGTATTATCAAATAATTCGTGTTAATCACGAGAAAATTTATATATATTGTTTTTGTTATGAAAAGTTTTTTATTATTTTTGTTAAAAATGCAGATATTACTTACACAATACTTTTATAAAATTCGATAAATAGATAATTGGCTATTACGAATAAGTTCACAGTATATTCTGAGAATGTATGAAAAATGTTATATCACAATATACAAGAAATATTATATCTAGAATTTCCAGAATTAATCACTGCCAATAAGTGCTACAAAAACAAATAAAGATTAACAAATGTGTATGTATCTTATTTTTATCGCCTATTTATCGCCTCTGTTCTTCATAAATGGAGTAACAAGTTTCAGTATTAATTAATTTTATTAGGTATTGGTGACTCATGACTAACTAAACAATATTAAAATCATGGGCTCGGTTATATAGGGCTACTAATATAGGTTTTAATTATTAAGTGCGGTATTTCGTATGGGTAATTAATGAGAAAGATTTTGTACCAATAATTTATCTCTAGAGTTCTGTAATAGATCAATGATAATCACTGCCATTATCACTTAATTATTTTACATTATTAATATCTTTCTAATTTAAGTATTCAAAATCATTAGGTACTAGTAATAAAATTACTGAGATATAATAATTTATTACTGACGAACCAATAAAACTTTTCTGTAAGATAGTGTGTTATTCAGTTACATAAACTGAGATATTTTCTATGTAATAGAATAACTAACTAAAAATAGCGCGCGTCTGCGTTGCTTAGTATTTCATAAATATTACAGTAATATTGCAATACAATATATTATATTATAATATTTATCGACATCGCAGTAATATTACAGAGCGATAAGTCACAAATGGTAATATTTGTCAAATATTATAGTAATATTTAAAAATTATATATCACACTGTCATATATAATATATGTCATAAATATTATAGGAATATTATATTGCGATATATCGCGTTTTAATATCTCAATAATATTACTTCATATAGCACAGATCTTCAATGAAAATCTTAAAGATATCCAGAGTATGTCACTATGCCCTAAAGACATCTATAGGAAAATATGCTGTAAGGGACTCTAGTATTATATTGTGATAAAAATGATTTATAAATCACGATATTTTTGTACAAAGTCATTAAGATGTCACAAGAAGGACATTTTAAATCAGGTATTATTTCATTAGCTAACGTAATTGGACCAATAATCACCAGTTTTCAACATTAAAGAGTGTATTAACTAGGATATTATCCGTATGACATACCTTGATATAATCAGCAATATGAATCCAATCGTCCATAGTTACATTGCTAGAGTCGCATACATTTGAAAACTTTGATATTCTGTAAACAACCCGACGGTTGTCGGCCGCGGTTTCACTATAAAATTAAGAGGAAGGTAATACTAAACAAGAAGAAGAGGAGAAGAGAGGAAAAGAAAAGAAGGAGAGAAACGGAATCTGAACGATAAATCGGTCCGATTGTATATTTGTCTATTAAAATAAATGAAAAGGATCAAGTTGTTAATTGTAACTTCTCGCATTTTGTATTCACATATAACAAACATTGCTCATATAGATTTTAGTTAGGCTCGTATGGTCTACTTTTTTTTCTAACAATTTTTCTTTCGAGCGAAATAATGTCTCTACTTACGGAAGCACTAAATATGATTTTCCCAAATCACTGTAATTTTTAGAGGCATATTCACTATCATGTAATTGTGGAAATTTTCGTAGAGCCATGATAAATTCGTCGATTACTGGCATTAACACTAGAAAGTAAATATTTCTTTTTAGAATAAAAATACGTATTCTGAAAGGAAAATTACGTATTCTGAGAGAAAATGAGATAAGAAATTTTTTGGTAGGAGAATTCATGGAAACATAAATGCAAGAAGCTGGATTATATGAATAGTTAAAGCTTTGGGTCATTATGTATTCTCTAAGTAACAGACTCTAGTCTGTTACTTAGTCTAACAGACTGATTAACAAAAATATCTTACCTCCCTCCTCGTTCCTAAGCATTCCTATTGTACCACCCGTGTATAACACCAAGACTTTTCCTTCCGGCTTAATTCCGAGAAATTTCTCGCAAACATTTTCGTTATTAAAAATATTTTCCACGCTAGTATTATTATTGCTGATGCCAGACGCATCTTTCTGCGACTCACAAGATAATAGTGATAACATAATCGTTAACGAACAATTTACAGACGACTTATCGTCTTAATAGCTTTATTGATCTCTTATGCAAGTCTAACTGCTATTTTGTTGGTCGCAAATAGCCTTCGCCTTCGATAGTAACACGAGCAGATGTGTCTTTTTATCTCCTTTTTTCTCTCTTCTGTATTACCAACCGTAATGTCACGCTTAGCAATGATTTTACATGAAACCTATTTGCAAGATATTTTGTTTTCGTCAACTAACAAACTCCATTTAAAGTTGCGAGACATTACAACTGACATTATAATCGACTTCATTTATTTTGATTGGCTAACGGACTTTTGCGTTCGAATTCTCCTTTACTTCTCTTCTCCTTTATATATTCACATTAGATATTCTTAATGTTTATATTTTCATCTATCTATCTCTAACCCGTATGTTTCTTTGGAAATCCCTCTAACAAAATCAATATATGTAACATATATATGTTATTTTCAAAGGAACACGCGGGTCAGAGATAGAGAGATGAAAATATAAACATTAAGAATATCTAATGTGAATATAAAAAGGAGAAGAAGAGAAGAGGAGAATTCGAACGACAAAGTCCGATTGCACGTTATCAATCAAAATAAATGGAGACGATCAAAATGTCAGTTGCAACATCTCGCAATTTACATTTACATGTAATAAATATAGGACAACTATTCTCCAATAAGAAAATATTTATGAAATTATATGGAATCTTCCATGGAAGTTGTAATGTTGCAGTGATACGTATAGGTATTAGGTTGGTGCGTATGAAATGTCGCATTCTCTTTACATGCGGACGTTTTCCTCCCTGTTTTCGTTATACTTTTGTATTTGGCATAACCTCATTCATACTCGTATTGTCCATTGCCAGAGACTCATTTCAACAAAATAGGTTTTCTCGAAGGTCTTCCCTTTTTTATTTCTTTTGAGTTTATTACCGATATGAATTCTGCCGACATTCGCGTCATTTTCTTATATGAGTACAAACTTGGTAATAGTGCTGCAAAAGCTGCACGCAACATAAACCAAGCGTTTGGGGAGAATACGGTTAACAATCGGAAAGTGCAGCGTTGGTTCGAAAAATTTCGGACTGGCGATTTTTCACTGCAAAATGAGCCGCGCGGAAGACCCAAAACGTCTGTGAATAATGATGACCTGAAGGCTCTAGTGGAAGCGGATCCAGCCGTATCCACGAGGGAACTTGCTATCAGGATGAAAGTTGACCATACAACGATATTGAGACACCAAATTGTACTCCCATCGCTTGTGAATCGGCATGGCCCGCTACTGCTCCATGACAACGCTCGGCCGCACACATCGCACAAAACAATTGCGAAACTGAACGAACTGGAATATGAAGTTTTGCAGCATCCACCATATTCACCGGATCTCTCGCCGACCGATTTTCATTTTTTCAAGCATTTAGAGCTGTTTTTAAGAGGCAAACACCATGAAAATGAAGACAGTCTAAAAAACTCGATATCAGAGTTTATTAATTCTAAAGACCAAAATTTTTTTAAGACAGGCATCTACGCTTTAAAATCTCGTTGGGAGAAGTGTATTGAAGCGAATGGAGCATACTTTGATTGAATAAACAGCTTTTGAAGAAAGATATACAGTTTTATACAATCACTTAAGAATCCGACATTTCATATGCACCAACCTAATATATTTAAGAAAATATATATAAAATCATCGATCTTTTATAAAATATTAATACCTGTTTATGCAATTAATTTCTAAATAATATTTCGGCAATAGTATTATGTTGAATAATCTTGCGGAATATTTTCAAAATTAAATTTGTAAAGAAATTGCCCTGAATAATTGAGAAAATTATTTCAATTTTACTGAATATTTTTCGCTAAATATCTCACGAATCATATCCGCAACTCACGTATCGTCATTCGCTACTTATTGCACTACACATGATTATTTGCCTCTGTTTTCTCTAATTAATAACTAAAAAATTTACGTGGTTATATGCAAAATGGTATAGAACTTTTTGTTCATATTAGGTTAAACTACAAATATATGATAAATGAAACATTTAGCGATCTTCTAGTGAATATCAACTAACAATAACATAACATCAATATTATAATTTCCCATTTAACAACGTAACACACGATTGCACGTTGCATAACACGCGTTACTTTATATTTGCATTGTTGAGTGAGAAATTATAACATTAATATTATGTTATTGTTAGTTGATATTCACTGCATGTATTATGTTTAAAATAATTAGATATATAATTATGCATAAAAGAAACAAATTAATGCATATATATGCTTATAAAAATGTACAATTATAATGTTAAATTATGAAGAAAAATGAAAAAATAGAAATATTGCAACATAAAATATTAAACAATCAGCATGGCAAAGTTTTAAAAAAGAATCAAGCACATTTAATAAAATAATAATTTGGATTGAAAAATTTTGTCTGCAAATGCTGGAAATATCACAAATTGTTATTGCTGTATTATATTATACTGTATTATATTGTAAAAATATTGTAGGCTGTGTAATTTTGCTTTTAAATATTGAAATAATGATATCCCAAAAAAAATATCTCGAATTGGATTTGTTTAATTTTTGACAAATATCATTTTCAAATTTAATTCAGATAAAATCGTTGTTTTGATTTGACTTATTAAATTAATAACTC